ATGGAGGCACCCCCATTCAGGCCAGGGAAGCTGGGTGAGGGGCCAAAACACCTGTGGCTGGATGTGCCCTGACTGCATCGGATTGGTAGGTCCCTAAAACCCACGAAAGGGGGAATATCTGAGACCAGTGGAGCTGAAATATTTTGGCACAAGCGTGGAGGCTGTGAAGACTTTCAGGTCAGTCCAGCTGAGGAGGCTGAAACACTGGAGATGGTCTGGGGACCCGCAGGCACCACAGAAGACACACGCCAGGGTAAAACATTACAGGAGAACCCTGCCACCATGATGGATAACATAAAAAGGTCTCCCTCCAACATCAACCCGCTCCACTGAGATACCCCATGCTGGAAACTATCATCCATTACACTTCCCTGGAAATAAACACTTGGATACTACTTGGAGATGAGAAAGTAATGGTCCTTAAGTGCTTTCACATTTAAAGCATGCCAAAGTGCTTTCTGGTAATTAAGGCTGAATAGCTGACAGGAGACAAGGGAGACCATCGTGGTCACGCTCCCAAATGCCCACCCGTTTTGCCTGCAGGTGAGTGAGCAAGGGAATGGTTGGGCGAAGGAGTGGTACAAATTTGACTACAGATTCTAGGGTTTAACCTGCTAAAGGGTAGCAGCCCCAGGGTAGGATTTGGATGAGACGTCCATAACCAGAACATCTCTATTCAGCCGTGACATGACTGAGGGCCCCTTTGTTGAATTCATCTCTGTGTGACTTTCAAGCTCCCCAGCTCTGTTGTGTTTTGGGCCAGCTGAGATGCTGAAGGTCCTGAAGACATCTCCATGTGGCTGGTGGAGATGACAAGGGACCTCAGGAGAGCTGTGCCTGTTTGAAGCAGCGGCAGGATGGGGTGGGATGTTCTCAGCCATCCCTGATGGCACTGACCACTGTGTTTGATCCCTGTAGCCCCAAGCTGTGTTTTGCAGCATCTACAGCCTTACCTCCACCAAATAGCTGAAGGTGTTGTAGCCAGTCCTACACCCCACTGGAGCACCCTACACCTGGTGGGACCAGCCCCAGGAGACAAGCCTCTTGTTGCTGCAGTTGTCTCCTTTTTCTGCTCCCCATAAAGATGTGGGGAGCACCAGTTTGCCAAAATCTAGTTCATTCCCTGGTTTAGCTGCATCCTCACCAACCAGCTTTGGAGAAAAGGATGGGAACATTATATATGTGCATTACAGCACTGTGCCCAGCCATGTTTTCCCAATGCCATTGGATATTACCTCGCTGTGTCACTTAGTATCTTCACACAGTAAAACCTGCGTGAAGCACAGCATTTTCCATAGGCTTCCCGAGGCGTGCTCCTGGGATCACATCTTTGCCCGGCAGCTCTGGGGAACACGTAGCTCTGGCAAAGCTCTGGGATAGAGAGAGGTAGATGAGGCACAGGAGAAGCACAGGCACCCTGTCCGTGTGCTGCCAGGCTATCGCCTCCCTCTCCTCCGACGCAATCAATCATGGCTGAGCAGCACAAGCTGTTCCTGTCATCGAAACACGGGAAGAAACGCTCCGCTTGGCACCAGGGAGGTGATAATGACCCTGAATTAGAGCTGTACGTCTCCAGCACCTGATCTGCCTGCTCCTGTGAGTACAGCCTGATGTTTCTCCTCCTGGCTGTTGCAGGAAGGGATCCAGGTCTTGCTCATGCGGAGGAAGGGTTTAAAGGAGCAATATCCCGCCTGGCTTTTGGAGGTTTCAAGCACCCGACGGCCACGGCTGCCCCGTGGAGACCAGGGGCAGTTGCAGGGCTGTGGGCAGAAGCAGGAAGAGCCCGTCACCGCTCTCACGTCAGGGGGTGAATCAGGGATGACCGTGGCATTTTGGGTTGTGCCAAGGCACATGCCTACTCATTAAATCATTAACACCGTCCTGGGGGTGCTTTTGGCCCAGGGAGCAGTAAGGTCCCTGATGGTTCCCAGCTCTGCTCAGCCCAGGCCAGGGGCAGAGGCTGATGAGAGTTTGGGACCATGTGTGACACCTCCAAATCCCCCCATGTCCAATGCAGCTAGCCCGCAGGGTTAGAACCTCAGCCCAGGCATCAGGCGCTGCAAACCCACCAGGCACTGTAATACTTCACATCTCAGCATCTGAGTAATTTTTGGAAGTGGTCTGGGGGGGATCCCTTTAAAAATCTCATTTCCCCAAGCCTTTGATCTGTGTCTTTTTAATTCCTTCTGAAACTCAAAGGGAAATATTTGATTATAGTCAGGCCAAGGTCTCAGATGCCAGCGTGCTCCTGTCACTTGGCTCCTAAGTGAACTTTTAAGGGACATTACTCCACCACTGAGCCTAACAGTCCTTGGCTCCTTCTGGAGAAGTTAAATATTTGAACCTGAAATTGCAGCAGAAATCACACCTGCTGTCCTAAAAGGGGCAAGAACCATTCAGTGATATTAAAGGGCAGGAAAGCTGAGATTTGGGGTTGGGTTTTTTTCAACTTGTCAGAAGAGGAAAATTGCCAAACTGCTGAGCACCCAGGAGATACTGCCAAGTGCAGGCCAATAAAGCGGACAGCTAAAAATACAGCAGGAACTCCCCTCCTCTTACAAGCCTTAAAGACAGCGCTGCTGGTTTCGTTTTCTTTTGTGCTTGCCATAACAAGGAGGATTTATCTGTTTGCAAATTGGACCTCTGGATAAGGGTGGCGAAAGGCAGCTCCTGTGTGCCATTGCTTATCTGCGTGCCTGCGAGCAAACATGAAGGGCAGGGTGCAAGGTTGCGCATATCCCATTTTATCATTCTTGGCCCACAGAACTTCTTGAGCAGTCGCTGATAAGCGTCTCGGATAGTCCTTCGGTTTGCCAATGCCCTCTAGTGGCTTATGGAAAGAAGAAATGTGCATTTCCAAAAAAAGAGGATTTTGCAAAAAATACTGCTATGCCCTGGGGTGTGTGCAGGCTTTAGGAGAGGTGGGACAGAGGTAGTTTAAAATGGAAAAAGAGCTAAATCAAAATTCTTCATTTATAAGAGCTCATCTTCCACACAGCAAAAGGGGGAGAGGAAAGGCTGTGGGATTCCTACAGGGTAGGTTTAGACTGGATCTAAGGAAGAAATTCTTTACAATGAGGGTGGTGAAACACTGGAACAGGTTGCCCAGAGAGGGGGTGGAGGCCCCATCCCTGGAAACATTCAAGGCCAGGTTGGACGGGGCTCTGAGCAGCCTGATCTGGTTAGCGGTGTCCCTGCTCCCTGCAGGGGGGTTGGGCTGGGTGACCTCTAGGGGTCCCTTCCAACCCAAAACATCCTATGATTCTATGATTCCCCATGTTTTCCTAGAAGGTGGTTCTGTAGCTCATCAAAAGGCAAATCTTGCTTGGTTGTGCACGTACATCTCCTCCTCTTCCTCCTTCCCTCCCCTTACCGACCCTGCTGCATGGCTAATGGGAACATGGCTTTTGCCTGGCGATGTTATGCGCCTGCATGCCTGACCGAGCAGGGGATTGTTTCACGCTGAATTTATTGCTTCCTCGCAAGAAAAGCACCCTCCAGAAATGCCCTTTTCTATGCACTTAGTCTTAGAAAAAGAATTAAAAAAAAAAAAATTCAAATCATCCTGCACAGAGGGATTTTAAGAATAAGTTAGATGGATTGTGCTTTCTGTGGGCTGAGTTTGCCAATAGACCTGAGGCAGATGCCCTCTGTATGAGCAGCAGTGTGTTGAAGCTGTTTGTTTAGGAATATAAAGAGAACCCAGTTCTGGAAGCAAAACCTCTGCTGGAAGCTGTTAGAATAGAATAGAATAGAACAGAACAGAACAGAACAGAACAGCACAGCACAGAACAGACTATTTCATTTGGAAGGGACCTACAACGATCATCTAGTCCAACCGCCTGACCAATTCAGGACCGACCAAAAGTTAAAGCATGTTGTTAAGGACATTGTCCAAATGCCTCTTAAGCACTGACAGGCTTGGGACATGGAGCACCTCTCTAGGATGCCTCTTCCAGTGTTTGACCACCCTCTTGGTAAAGAAATGCTTCCTAATGTCCAGACTGAACCTCCTCTGGTGCAGCTTTGAACTGTTCCCACACATCCTGTCCCTGGATCCCAGGCAGAAGAGCTCAGCACCTCCCTCTCCATGTCCCCTCCTCAGGGAGCTGTAGGGAGCCATGAGGTCGCCCCTCAGCCTCTTTCTCTCCAAACCAGACAAGCCCAAAGTCCTCAGCTGCTCCCCACAGGACATTCCTTCCAGCCCTTCCACCAGCTTTGTTGCTCTCCTCTGGATGCATCCAAGGACTTTCACACCTTTCTGAAATTGTGGGGCCCAGAACTGCTCACAGCACCCCAGGTGAGGCTGCACCAGCGCTGAACACAGCAGGATCATCCCCTCTTTTGATGGCTGGTGGTGCTGTGTTTGATGCCCTTCAGGATGCGGGTTGCCCTCTTGGCTACCAGGGCACGCTGCTAGCTCACAAGGAGCCTGCTGCCCACCAGCACCCCCAGATCCCTTTCTGCAGGGCTGCTCTGCAGCCACTCCCCTCCCAATTTATACCTGTGTCACACCATTGCCCTCCTCCCACCGACCTGCAAGCACCGAGCTGACCACCTTCGCTGCTGGTGGGTGTTATCCCTAAGGAATCCCTAGGTGAGAAAAACCCATCATGGTCATTTTCTGCAGGGTAGGTTTGGTGCCAAAGCGACAGCCCTGAAGAGCCACGCTCACTGCCCGGCCCCAAGGTAAGGACACGGCCATCGGCTTACGCTGTCGGTACAGGCTGTGGCATTTGCTGGAGCCTCCTTCCCTGCTGACCGGGTCTGAGCCAGTGCCTAAGGCCACGCAACAGGTCACTGGTTGAAATCACTGATATTTTATTACACTCTCAGCCCAACCTTGCCATTAATAGTCCAAAGGGGTGTAGAAGGGCTGAGAGGAGGGTTAATGAGCAGAGATTCTTCGTTCTAGCTCATCTCATATTCACGCACCAGTCGATCCGTCTCTAGAACCCCCCGTTATTTGTTGTAACCTGGAAAACAAAAAGGAGGTGAATTCAGTAGAGAGCCAGGATGACGCACGTCTCCATCCCATCTAAGGGGGTGCAGTCCTGCACCTGGGTCGGGGTAACCCCTGGTGTCAATACAGGCTGGGGGAAGAAAGGATCGAGAGCAGCCCTGCCGAGAGGGACTTGGGGGTGCTGGTGGACGAAAAGCTGGACATGAGCCGGCAATGTGCTCTGGCAGCCCAGAAGGCCAACCGTACACGGGCTGCATCAGGAGAAGCGTGGCCAGCAGGTCGAGGGAGGTGATTCTGCCCCTCTGCTCTGCTCTGGGGAGACCTCGCCTGGAGCCCTGCGTCCAGCTCTGGAGCCCTCAGCACAAGAAGGACATGGAACTGTTGGAGCGGGGCCAGAGGAGGGCTCTGAGGCCTGGAACACCTCTCCTATGAGGCCAGGCTGGGAGAGTTGGGGTTGTTCAGCCTGGAGAAGAGAAGGCTGCGGGGAGACCTGATTGCGGCCTTTCAGTACCTAAAGGGGGCCTATAGGAAAGATGGGGACAAACTTTTTAGCAGGGCCAGCTGTGACAGGACAAGGGGTAATGGTTTTAAACTAAAACAGGGAAGGTTTAGACTGGATATATGGAAGAAATTCTTTCCAATGAGGGTGGTGAAACACTGGCATGGGCTGCCCAGAGAGGTGGTGGAGGCCCCATCCCTGGAAACATTCAAGGCCAGGTTGGATGGGGCTGTGAGCAACCTGATCTGGTTAGCTGTGTCCCTGCTCCCTGCAGGGGGGTTGGGCTGGGTGACCTCTAGGGGTTCCTTCCAACCCAAAACATCCTATGATGCCATGATGCTATGATTTTATGATTCTAAGTGCTCCGGAGAAGGGCTTGTTCCCAAGGGCTGGGCCAGGAGACTGCTCCAACAACCTGCTCCCACCCAGAAAGGTTTACGGACCACAGTAGCCTCCCTCTTCCTCGCAGTGATTTAAAATACCTCTCCCCACCTTTCTTTCCAGCAGGCCCCACGGTTTACAGCAGCATTTGCACAAAACCACCCCCCATGTCTGGGAAACGGCTGCTCCTTCTGCCAGACATTGTTTCTGGGAGCAAAGAGCTCGTTGCTCTTTCCCAAACGTAAAGCTGAGAGTGCGTAGTGCGGCACTGCAGGACTTGCACTTGTCGAGATGCTTTATGTTTGCTGCATTTCCCATTCACTGGCCAGCTAATTCTTTCAGTGGTTTCCTGCAGTAAAGCTTTGTCTGAGCGAATGGCGATGATAATTTTTTGGACACAAAGCCCAGCTCCCGCCTGGCTTGAATTTTGTCCACGGTCCTCAGCAGAGCATTTCAGCTCCAAGGCAGCAGCTCCTTCCTTACCATTGTTTGACTACACCAAAAGTAGCAGCAAATATCCTGATTTTAGACCTCCCCAGATCTCCCAGTTAGACTCCTAATGGTTTCATAAATGAAAGACTCCGATTCCTCTGGCATTCAAAAAAAAATGGCATCAGGTCACCTCCCAGGCGCTAAGCAACTTACGCTGTAGATCCAGTCCACGTAGGCTGACACACGTGTGAAGACAGTTGGCTTCTTGTAGGTGTTACAGTAAGGAACTAGCCCAAAGCTGACAATCCCATGGACTTCCCACTGGTTGTCTCTGAAGCAGCTGAGAGGGCCCCCGGAGTCCCCCTGGATCAGAGGAAGGAGAGGAACACATTAAGCCAAATTATCTGAGCAATTTAGGAATGACTTGGGTAGGATGAAGGAGCACCAGTTAGTTAAGCACTGTCCTGAACATGAAAATAAATTCTTTGTGCTGCTTTCTTTGCAAAGGGCTGACAGCTCCCCAGCAGCACGGCAGCAGAGACCCCCCGGCACCTCCCAAGATGTTGCAAAGATCAGACCCACTATTTATTATCTCAGTCTACATGCACATACACACACATTTACAGATACACCCCCCAGGAAGGGCTGAACCCCAAATTTCCCACCACCATTGCAAATACAGTGACTGCAAGCAACCAGCCCAGTGCAGGTTGCATGCCACCCAGTCCTTCCCAGCAAGGTCCACCTGCACAGTGCCTCCATTAAAAAAATCAGTAACGAGGAGCCAGGTAGAAGGGAAACTCTGGTCCCCTTGTTCTTCACAAACAAGTATATTTTAAGGCTCCTGGGAAGTTAAGGTGGTGAAAAAGAAAGCAGCTCGAGTTAAGATATGCGAGAAGATAAAAGCTCTTGCTTGGCTCAGATCCTGGTCTGTTACAAGGTTCTGCTATAATTAAACCACACCAACAAATACACGGTATATCTATAGACCTATAATTATACTATGTGTAATTGTACAACCTGTTTTATTTCTACATGTTTCTATATTATATTCATATATTTGCAGAATCGACTATCTTTCGCATTTGTTCATTGTTTTTGAAAGGCTCTGCATGGTTGCTTTCACCAGAAGCCACCTCTGTAGCGAAGAGAATACAGGCAGAGGTAACACTTACCCCTCTCCTTCACACACCAAACCTCCTTGCCTTGATTCTAGGGCCACCTGGAACCCTGGGGATAAAGGGGACCTCACATCATCTTCCTTTTCCACCTAACCTGGGCCAGATGGTGCAATTTGGACATAGCCAAAACTTGCAGCAACCTCAGGTGTCCATATAAGCAGAGCAGCTGGGGAGGAGAAGGGCGAAAGCATGGGGGAACACTGCCTGGTCCAGGGTGCAACCTGACAGCAACATGGGAGGAGTGGTAGGACTTCCCTGAAGCTTCATCCTTTGGATGAGGGGACTGACAAAGTCTCAACCTATTCCCCAGGATCTGGTCAATGGAGCATGCTGCTGGAAGGAAGGGCAAACCTCCCCTCCAAAATCAGGGAGAGATGCACCCTGAGGATTTGGAGGTGTCCTCTCTGCTGGCTGCTCTGTGGGGAGATGGAGGAATGTGGAGCAGTCTGGTTAAGAAGAAGAAAATCAGTGAAGGGGGTAGGATTTACAGGAGAGTTACTGCAGGTGGAGAAATGGCAAAAATGGGTCCCAACTGAAGGAACAGCAAAGGTTCCCAACTGAAGGAACAGCAAGGTCAGATAGGAAGAAAAGAAAAAAAGGGGAGCTTGAAAATCCTCTGATAATAACAGATCTTACACTGCATCCAGCTTTCACACCATCTCCACCTGCACAGATCATAGTGACTTTTGCATTAGATCCCCACCAGTCGTTCTGGGAGCAGATCTTATGGCTGACCACCGGCATCATCGCCTCCTGCAGTTGGTCCACGCTGCTGCCATCCACTAGCAGAGAAAGGGTGAGATTTTGGTCCAGGAGCTCCAGCGGTTGAGGAAGGAAGCCCGCGCCCTGCCTTGGGTGGCCATCCCTGCATGGTGGTCCCTCTGAAAGCAGGAAGGACCCTCAACACTCCTCCTTCCCCCTTACTTACCACTAACCACCCCCCATCCGGTAATATAGCAGGGATAGTCATTGGGCAAAATTTCTCCTTGGGGTGGAAGTGCTCCCAGCTCAACGAACCCATTGTCATAGGCAGGAGAACTGAGGCGCAGCAGGGCAATGTCATCACTGGAATGGGATACAGATGAAAGGCTCTTCACTGAAAATCCCGAATTAGTCATAAACCAGACATCCTCACTCACATTTCGTCACTCTTACTGGTCGCTAGACTCTGGCATGATGATAGACAAACACCTTGCAATCATTAATTAATCCTTATAGCTATCACAGGCGACAGGAGAATATGAGCAATTAAGAGAAAAGAGGCCATGGTACAGATTGATAAAGGGCTAATACTCCCCAAAAATCTCCTACTCCTTCAGAGGCACCCAACATCAGAGGGAATTTCACTGGGCCCTGGGTAGACAGGCACGCCTCTGAGGGGGGATTTAAGACCATCCCTCGGCACAAGAAGGACATGGAACTGTTGGAGCGGGGCCAGAGGAGGGCTACAAAAATGATCCAAGGGCTGGAACACCTCTCCTATGAGGCCAGGCTGGGAGAGTTGGGGTTGTTCAGCCTGGAGAAGAGAAGGCTGCGGGGAGACCTGATTGCGGCCTTTCAGTACCTAAAGGGGGCCTATAGGAAAGATGGGGATAAACTTTTTAGCAGGGCCAGCTATGACAGGACAAGGGATCGTGGGTTTAAACTGAAGCAAGGCAGATGTCGCGTGGATATAAGGAAGAAATTTTTTACAATGAGGGTGGTGAAACACTGGCACGGGTTGCCCAGAGAGGGGGTGGAGGCCCCATCCCTGGAAACATTCAAGGCCAGGTTGGATGGGGCTCTGAGCAACCTGATCTGGTTAGCAGTGTCCCTGCTCCCTGCCGGGGGGTTGGACTAGATGACCTCTAGGGGTCCCTTCCAACCCAAAACATTCTATGATTCTATGATTTCTTTGTTGGCTTCCCTTCATCAGATGCAAACAGGGGCGTGACTGCTGGCAAGCCCCTGGCTCTGCTGTACATCCTGGATCCATCTGTGAGGCCCATTTTTCCCCCATCTTGGGCAAAGCAGGACTGGGGTCATCCACACAGACACTGCATAACACTTCCAAGAGAGGAGGCCATTTGGGAAGCCTCCATTGCATCATCTTCCAATGCTTCCCACACATCCAACCTCACTGGGAACTGGACTGAATATACACATAAACACTAGCGGGGCAGGCTGCTAAGTACCATTCAACCATCTGACAATATTCAAAATAATTACCCATTGGCAATGTCATTGGGATTCCAGCCATCATGAATGAAGACCCTATCTACATCAATATAGTACTCGGTGCCATCCACCTTCAAGAGATCGTGCTCACCCAGAGCTACTCGGTAGGTTGCTCCTGGTGGCCTGAAAATGCATCACAGAATAATTAATGTAAAAACTACTCCCCACCACTAGCTTTGCAGTGTAATTCCTGCACCACCGAGACCTTCCACCAACGTCATCATTTCTAAAGCAACTTCCACCGGAGGATTTTCCATGGACTGTAGCTAAATGGTCTTAGGAAATAGGCAGGTGCTGCCTGCAGTTTGCTGGCAAAGCAAGCGGATGCGCAGCATCAGCTAATACAGTGCCGAGCTCGGTCTTGAACGAGAACGTTCATTTTGCATCTCTGCATCTAGCTGAAGCCGAGTGTGAAGGATCAGTTTGTTACACTTTGTTGTAAGTACACTCACTGAAGGCATGAGTAATTAAGGAGGAGCGCGTGCTTGTTGGCGTCACGCTGTATCGTTTAGGCGGTGCGTGTCAGGCATGCCGTAGGGCAACTTGTACAACATGGCCCGTCAGCGACGAAACATGCCTTGTGCTCAGTCTTTCCATCTCTGAGCAGGTTTCGCAGGACGCAAACCCCTTCAAAATGCTCACGTTCATGCAAATGTGCCTCCTCTTATGCAAATCAGCAATCAGCTTGATTTCCACTCCCAGGAAGTCAGCAATTAATTTGTAAAATCAAGGCTAAAGCAAACAGAGTTCTCCAGTTCCCTTGACTAAGCGCGGAGCTCAGAGGGTGAGAAGGCTCTGGCTCCTGCCTGCAGCAAGAATGAGGACCAGAACAGGAGTTTTAACGTTTTTTATCCTACTCACATGCTGAGGCAATGGGCTGCAGTCATGACCCATTTGGTGCTGATAAGGGTTCCACCGCAGATGTGAGAGTAGTACCCTGGGTACTCAGCATAGGCAATCTGAAGCGATACCTGTGTCAAACAACACCGTATTTTACACCCAAGCCATGCCATGCCTCTGCAGAAGGTGTGCGTGGCTTTGGGCAGTAGAAGCTGGTATTTTCTCACTGTTTTTTTCAAGTATAAGGCTTTTTTTCAAGTATAAGACACCAACATTACCTGCCACTTCCAGCTGTTTGGTTGAGCCTTGTGGCCTCCAATTACTCGCCCTGTCAGCCCATTGTCCTGAAGAGCATCCCTGAGGGGACTTCCAGAGATTGCCCCTAACCACACACACAAAAAAAAAAAGGAGTCCAGTTTGTCATGTGGATTCCTAATGAGCATCAGCCATTGTGGGCTACTGCCAGCGACAAATTTGTGCTGCGCAGGGCAGCCAGCCAAGCAAGTCTGAAAGATCAAGTGATTGAGGCTTGCACACGGTGACACTGTGCTCGCTCGCCATCCTGGAGGCTGTCTTTAGAGCCTCCATGGTTGAGAAATACAGGCTTCAAGATGCAAAGCTCGCACATAAATTGCTTTCTGTTTCCCAGAGTCTCTACAACCCCAACTGCCAGGTGGTTGCGCACCAAACTAAATCCCCTTTTTTTGGGGGGGGTGTAGGTTTCCCCTCCCTCAGAGCACAAACAGATCTTTCTCATGGAGATCTTATCCCTTCAATAAAGAAAACCCTTTCCAGCCAGAATAATTGCGTCCACATAAGGTTTTCCCCTAGCAGAGTACTGCAGAGAGAAAAAAAAAAAGATATGCTTAATCTGCAGCATTTAGTCAGAGGTCGAGAGGTTCACCCTTTCCCAGCTCAAATACTTCAGTTGCAACTTACCCAGGCAACTAAGAAGAACTAGATACTGAAGCATCTTTAATGAAGTGGTAGCACTTTTCCAAGAAAAAATCTTTTTATACTAAAATATCTGATAAGAAGCTGTGGCTAAATTTGTGATTAATACAATTTATGTCAACTCGTAACTCATTAAACTGGTCAGAAGTGTTTTCCCTGTGGAAAAAAAGGGGGAGCAGCGATCTGTTCAAGGTAGAGCCCAAGGTTACACAAACACCTCCACACTGCATAGTTCCCACAGGCCCATGAAGCAGAAAAAAACCCTGATAAATTTGGACAGAGCTCAGATCAAGTCAAAACCAAAACAGTTCAAACCCAAGCTCAACAAGCCAACACTTCAGAACAGAAATTGTTAATGCACATGTTGTATTCCCTTGACAAAAATTTATAGAATCATAGAATCGTTTAGGTTGGAAAAGACCTTTATGATCATCAAGTCCAACCATTCCCCTAACCCTGCCATCCCACCACTAAACCCTGCCCCTAAGCACCTTGTCTGCCTGGCTTTTAAATCCCTCCAGGGATGGGGACTTGACCCCTTCCCTGGGCAGCCCCTGACAATCCTTTCGGTGAAAAAATTTTTCCTGATGTCCAACCTAAACCTGCCCTGGTGCAACTTGAGGCCATTTCCCCTCGTCCTATTGCCCGTTACCTGGGAGCAGAGACTGACCCCCACCTCACTGCCCCCTCCTGTCAGGCAGTTGTAGAGGGCGTTGTTATCTGTCAGTCCAGCTGTCTGCTACTCCATGAAACATCAACTGACCTTTGTCAACTAGATCAAAAGAGCAATAGCAAGTAGGGAGAAGCACTGAGGGTGGTTCAGTCTTGCCTGAACCTGTTAAACCAACCTTGGCTGGACATGCTGGCCCTTTTTTAGGATCCTTTTCTTCTCCCTCTTCCCTGCTGAATGAGTTTTCCTCTGCCTGCTCCAAAATGCTGGCTCTCAGTGGCAGGAGGGCAGGTAGGGAGCTGGGCTATGGCCAGTGGGGTAAAAAGGGAATGGTGCAGCTGGCAAAGATACGTACTGTGTCTGAGGAACAGAAAAAGTCCCAGAATGGTTGAGGTTGGCAGGGACCTCTGGAGATCATCTGGTCCAGCCCACCTGCTCAAGCAGGGCAACCTAGAGCTAGTTGCCAGGACCATGTCCAGATGGCTTTTGAATGTCTTCAAGGATGGGGACTTTGCAACCTCCCTGGGCAACCTGTGCCAGTGCTCAGGCACCCTCACAGTAGAAAAGTGTTTCCTGATGTTCAGAGGGAACCTCCTGTGTTTCAGTTTGTGCCCAGGACCTCTGATCCTGTCACTGAGCACCACTGGAAAGAGCCTGACTCTCTTTCACACCCTCCCTTCAGATGTTTATATGCATTGATGAGATCCCCCCTGAGCCTTCTCTTCTCCAGGCTGAACAGTCCCAGCTCTCTCAGCCTTTCTTCATGCGAGAGGTGCTCTAGTCCCTTCATCATCTCTGTGGCCCTTTGCTGGACTCTCTTCAGTATGCCCATGTGTCTCTTGTACTGGGGAGCCCAGAACTGGACCCAGTACTCCAGATGTGGCCCCACCAGTGCCGAGCAGAGAGGTGTGATCACCTCCCTCGACCTGCTGGCCATGCTTTACCTAATGCATCCCATGGTACCACTTGCCTTCTTTGCCACAAGGGCACATTGCTGGCTCATGTTCAACTTGGTGTCTACCAGAATCCCCAGATCCTCTTCTGCCACGCTGCTTTCCAGCAGCTTGGGACAGGCAGTAGGTAGGGGAGGCACCAGGCAATATTGCTAAGACCTGCATCCCATCTTTGACAGTGGCCTTCATACAGCACTTCAGAAGAAAATGTAGAAGCCTTTGTAATGGATAACCTTGTTCTAGAAGTATGTTTTGCTTTTTTTACATCCCCATTAATTGCAGGCCCCCAACCATTTTATACTTGTCGACCATGATGATTTATATCCCTTTAATGGTTTAAGGCACCTATCTAGGAGCGTACCAGATGCACAGGTTCTTCAGTTAAATGTAAAATACAGCCCTGCTTTACATATCTAGCGAGGAAGAAAACAAGAAATGCCTGTAGCTGGTGAAAACCCAGAGACTTGTTTCTGTGATCAAAGGAAATCCCCTTGGGACACACAGGCCATCAACAGGTGGGCAGTAAAGCTCACCTTGAACTTTAACTTCAGCCAGAGACCCGTTGTCAAGTGAAAGAGGAGGAGTTAAGGAAACAAACTGGAGAAGATAGCAAGGTTTATCCACCCAGGCACACTGATGGGATTCACTGTCCATGGAATGGGTACGAACAGGGACTTTTCCGTATCATCCCAACAGTCCTCTTCAACAGTCCTTTCTAGCTTATTGGAAGCCATAAAAAGTTCAGTGTGATATTTCAGCACTGAGACCGTCTTTAAGTCATTGAACACTTTTCCCCCCTTACATCATAGATCATTTTTAGCTTTGGCTAGGAGGTCAGAAAGTGGCCTCCTAGCCAAATCATCTCTTCACTCACTTTCACTACATTCATCATCCCTGTTAGACCTGGCAAACTCACTCATTTTCTATTGCTAATTTATTTTTTCCAAAGACGTTATGTGCTCCCTACATACAATTTTGTTGAAGAATATTGTTGCCTGTTTATTCTCCTTTTGGACATCGTGCCATTTAGCTTGAGTAATTGTTTGTCCACAATCTGTACGCTACGGCAGTGCGCATGGTATCGTACTCATTTTGCAGCTGAATGGCTTTGATGTTGGGCTGTGTTGTAATGCCCAAAGGAGAAATAAGTTACACTGAGGAAGATGAATTACAGCTGTTCTCAGAATTCCTCCACTTCAGACATTGTTTTAGTGTAGGGCTCTTGAGGGACTGCCTGTGTTTTGCTCTGGGCTCTACATACGTGGTTGTGGAAGGGGTGAACCTATGGGACATATGTGAACGGAGAGAGAAGAATTTGAGCATTGGGACTGTATGTACAAGTACTTGCCAAGTGAAAAAACTTGAATTTAAGAGTTAGGACTTTAATTGTAAGGGAAAGAAATTTAAAAACATGGAGATCCGTGTTAATGGCAAGGAGAAGGCTGATTAGTTTCTGATATTGCAGCATCACCATGGAGCTCCAATTGGGAAGCTGACCTGAGATGCTGCCATACAAAACACATCTCACCTACTGCTAAACCTCAGAGGCCCATAACCCTCCAGGGGCTGTGAAATCTGTTTCAGAACATGCACAGTCTGGGAATAGGAGTCCAGGACTCTTCCTCTCTGAAGGACCATCTCAAGCTGGAGCCATCTCAGGGTTTCTCACAAGTGTAGGCAAAAATTAATTTCTGTGCTCCAAGACTTTACCAGTAAACAAAATGGGACATCTTTCACATCACAAAGCCAACTCAAGCAGCCCTGTTCGTGCCCGTATGGCAAAACTTTGTTATACTCTAAAACAGAGAGGTCTTATCCATGCTTCCTCTGGGGCATGGCCTCTCCTCCATACTAACTTTCCAAACCATGCGTAAGAGTTGCTATGGTGAGCACGGGCTGGTGCAAACCAGCATTATGCTAGACTGTGCTAACATTTAACTGTACAGGAAAAGCAGGTCGATGTCTGACTTGGTGCTCTAGCACTGTTTAGTTAATTGGTGCTCTAGTATTGTTTAGTTCATTAGTGATCTAGCACTGCTTAGTTAATTAGTATATAGCCTTTTTGTCCTTGTTCTCAGAGCCTCAGAATTAATTATTCTGATGACAGCAGCTTTTTCTGGGTGAGTAGATTATTTTAGGAGTGATGGGATGGATAAGGGAAGTTGTGAGGGATAGGATGGGTGGTAGGGACTGTACAAGCAAGTAAGGAGATTTGGGTGGACTTGATGAGATCCATTAGGAGTTACTGAGTGTGAAGTTGAGGTTATAGCCATTCTTTCAGGGAGGTCCTAAAGCACAAACTGACTTCCAGACATTGGGAAGGTTTACTGTGCATGTTTATTGTGCAGCTTTGTTTGCTCTGCTCTTACACGCTTTTCCTAAGCAGCTGCCATCACCCACCATCACTAGGATATTGGCTAGATGGATCTTTGGCGCGACACAGTTCACCCCTACATATATCTTTATTTATTGACTATGTTTCTAGAAACGAAAGCCTCAGATTTATTTTTGCAGTGCAAACGCCAAGGTTTCCTTTCTTCTTTATAGCAGCAATTCAGTATCACATCTCTATTCAGGATAGTATTAAGCACACTGTTAACTTAAGTACATGCTAATGTAAAGCACATGCTCTTCTTCTCAACAGAGATGGTTTTAAGTATATTAAGCAGGACTAGAGAAGAAATCTTCCAATGCACACACAGTATTTATTTTTTCCTTATTTTTTTATCTATATCCCTTCTCCTCCATAACTGAGTTTGAGTTGATCAACACATTAATAAACCCATAAATATTCCTAATTTATTATCATTTGGCAACAAGTTAGGACAACATGGGTGGAAACCCTTTTATTACTTAAGTAAAAAAGTCTATGGATACACTATCCTGAAGACTGACAAAACCTTGATCTAAGATCTTAATAAATATACTACTGTGGCCGTAATCATCAGTAAATGAAGATAAAGGAACCAATGACTTCACTTTTTCCTCCTCTTTCTATTGCTACAGGATGAAGCCTTTATTTCAGTATGAGAGCTGTTGAGCTGTAAAAAGGGATGCATGATATGAAATGGCTAATCTGTCAGACCACACCGTTAATCGCTGCTTCTGGAAGCATAGCTCTGAAGGTTCATCTACAGTACATCTGACTCAAAAGAAATTCTTAGCAAGAAGGAAACATAAAATCAGTAAGTAAGTGAGAAAAATTTGCATTTCAACACTGGAAATCATGAAATGACATAAGGTAATGCCTGCATATTCACTTGAATGATAAGAATGTTTATTGAATTTAAGGTCAGTCTCATGAAATACATGCACAACCCATATTTACTATGTCTCACATGATGATGTTTGATGGGAAGGGCACGTGACTGAGTAACACTAGAGTTATGTGATGTACACATACATAAAAAATGCTAACTGATAAATTTATTAGGCATCTGAGGTGCAGGCAAGTTGTAATGCACACATAAACTCTACTCTGTAAGTGGTTTTTGAAGAAGTTGGATATACGGACTGTTGAGGGTACGTGGAACGTGGGAGCATTTGCTTCATTAAGGTTATAAAATCAAGGACATTTTCAGTCCAGAGGGGATAACAAGTAAAAGGAAAAGGGATAAACAAATCACAGAGACACAGACCTGGTAGACAAGGGATAACTAAGATGATGACGAAGACCAAAAGTCTCCAGCTGGTAGCTGATGGGCCACTAAGGGACTACAGGCAGAGCTGGGGAGAGAGCTAACCTGGACATTACAATTTATCAGAAGGGAAAAAGAAGATGAACTTGAGGATTTGGGGTATTCAAGGGGGCTGTGCAGGACAAGCAAGCTGGAGTAGCTGGCAAGTAGGAGATCATATAGGGGGTAAGAGGCCCCAGTGTTCCCATTGAGGATGCACCAGACTGGGCTGCAGCAGCTGGGCAGGAGAAATCCTGGGTCTCGGAGGCTGCTGGAGATGGCAGATCTTATAAAGTCCTTAACACATATATAATACTGTATATGACGGTCTTACTGGTTTTATTTAAAACCTCTCTGCACCATCTGGGCAGGTAAAGGACATATAAACTGATAAATCCAGTTTACTGCCACTTTAGGCTTCTTTCACTCTGAGCAAATAATATAAGCAGCTGCAAGACAGAGGGTCTGATATTCACTGTCTTTTAAATTGAATCACCTTTAAAATACAGCTATGATAAATGCGATGTCCCCTGTTGGTGGACGTAAAGCTCTCCCTTGCTG